CATCCCCAAATTAATCTTTCTCTTTCAACAACAATTAAAATAAATCACAAAGTCCCCTTTGAAGACCCCACAAATGAATATTTGGCGTCTGGTTTCTATTCTGTTGTCTTCAATGTTTATTCAACGTTTTCCTCAGATTGTTTGAACTGATACCTCAGTCCCTCCTTTCCCACCCCTCCACCACTGGGGCTGGATGGAGTTTCCCAAGCTTTTTCAGCAAAGAACAAAAGTTTTTTACAAATATGTGAACTGTGATCTGTCCTTTCAATTGATTGATTTAGGATTTGTTTTCTAAACCCGAAGTCCAGTTTAGATGTAAGAGCGTGATTGTACATTGTAAGACAGAGTCTGTTTTCCATTAGGGTATGGTCTTTTTATGTTTACTCAAGATGTACATTAAGATACATACCTTGTATCAATTACACTCACATTTGCAGGATGTGCATACTGAAATTTTTCAGATCCCTATCAGAGATGTAATGGAAATATTTATGTGAAGCTCATACAGGACATCATCCTTTGTGTTAAATATTTTTATTATGGAAACAATGTTATCAATAAAATACAGCAATATTTTGCAGTTGTAACATCCAGTCATTTCAAAAACTATTTTCAGCTTTGAATTTTTTTGATTATTCCTAAAAAGTAGAGTCATGGCATAGTACGGATGTGGAGATAAATGAATACAGTGTGTGTTGGAGAGGGATAATGACAGAGAGTCCAATCCGAGATGACAAACATGGACAGTCCTCAGAGACAATACAGCCTGGGAGCATTAGAGGGAAGTATGAGGGACCCTTTTCATGAACTACTATGCAACGAGGAGCTTTGATAAGCACCAAAGGCACCACAGCCACACAGAGTGCTCCTCCTGAGCCACATTACCCCCCAGCACAGCCTGCAAAGCAAGCTGTCTTCTCTTACAGGTAAACCAAGGCAGTATGAAAGGTCTTCATCCAGGTGATCGACACGCCTGCAAATATGACTCAGCAGTCAGGAACATCTGTCTCCAGATCTAACTAGCAGATCACACAACTTTTTCTATGAACTAATCAGAAGGCTGAGTGTTAGTCAGATTTTGTAAGTGTCCAAGCTGGGAATAAATATTTTCACTGTAGTAGCATGGCAGGACACTCAAACCTTTGCTTTGGGCAGTGTTTCCCCCTAGCTTGACACAGCTACATGTGCTGTCAGGCTCTCTTCAGACTCCCTCCTCTGAAGGTGAGTATGACTTCCTTCAGGTTACTCTAAGCATGAGGCAACACATCCTTTGTTTTCCAACCATAACAAGGCAAGCTGTACTTGGCTTCCTACCTTCAAGCTTCTTCAGCCTCTGAAGCTTATACTGGAGAGACAGATTTTCTCAAAAACAATCTTTTCCAATCAAAGCACCGCTGACTTCCTTAATAGAGAGAAAGGAACATCTCAGGTTCACCAAACACATTTGCTCTTTCTTCCAAGTTTTGCCTTTTCTAAGCAATGGCACCACACAGGGAGATGCAGACTGCCTCACTGACCTCCTCTCAGCTGTTTCTTACTCACAGCATGGTCCCTGGCAAACAGAGAGCCTACCTCTTTCTAGCTTCTAAATCTATTATTTTTAATCCTGCTCTTACTCTGAATAAACTGCTTTTTGACTGAACAAAGCTAAGCAACTCAGTTCCTGATGCTTTTAGTAAGGTTACGTGTGTTATGTATTGCTCTACCTTTTCTACTTGGTTCTGTTTTGTTCTAGGAACTGACACACCTTTGGCAAAACCTATACACCATATTCATGGGAAATCATTCAGATAATCTCCGCTTTGTCACAATACTGATTTTTAATAACTTCATTTAGACTTTCTCATCTCTTCAACTTCTTTGAAGTGTTTACAATTAAATGATAACAGAAATAACAACAGCTGTCAATTTGTTACTGAGAATTTAAACAAAAACTACTAGAAGAGTAAGTATGCTTTGCATCTGTCTTCCAGTGCCTGTGGCGTTTCCATAACCTCAAGTTCTGTTCTCCAGGCTGAACAGTACCAGCTCTCCCAGCTTGCCCTCGAATGGGGAGGTGTTCCATCACTTATCTAAAGCCTCAGGACTCAGTTTATGCATCAATACTGATAACTACAAATATCAACAGTTTAAAAAAGAACTAAGCAAATGCAACAGATATTAGTCCAGTCACATAACATGCAAGCAATTGGTTGGGTCAAGGGAAGATCTACTGGTGCAGAAGAAAACTCAGCATCTTTTGTTGTAGTCAGACATTAAAACCAATGCTCTCCTATGTTCTCTGGGTCCCAGCAGGCATGGAGAGAAGCTCAGTTTTTTGCACATCCACATCTGCATCATGGATTATAGCTATGTGGTTCCTTCTTCCCTTTCTCACCCTTCATATTCCTTGTCAAATCAATATCTTTGGCCCTGGGAATAAGAAGTTTAACTCACCTGATTCTAGCAAAGTCCATCTTGACTTTGCCCTGCACAGGGGTGTTTAGTGCCCGTGCTGGGAGCTTCAAACCCATTGATGGGTTGCAGACTCCTGCCTCCCGCAGTGGAAACTCAGACTATATTGTCTCAGGTGGCCAAAATTTTGTTTTAATTTTCTGGTAAATATCTTCCATCTTACCTTACCTTCAGTAAGTCTTAAGTTATGAGGCTGTCCAGGTCACTAACAGAGAAGCAGGAGAATTTACACCAAAAGGCATAAGCAAGTCAACAATAAAAGTAACCATTTACCTTTTCTTGCTCTTCAGCATCTTACTCCAAAGGTCATTGTGCTCTCTCACTGGAGCAAAGTTCTGTGATTTGAGTTCAGAACTTCAGGCTAAATCCCAGAGTCACCATCCCTGGAGAAGTTCAAGAACCACAGAGATGTGACACTGGGGATATAGTTAGTGGCCATGGTGGGACACTTCGGGGTTGGACTTGATGATCTTGGAGATTTTTTCCAAACTTTATGATTCTATGATTCTTTGTGCTCAAGACACAAATATTTCTCTAAGATTATTCTTCATAAAAGAAGAAACATCTTATAGGGTTCTGTTTGGCCCAGCAGCTGTCTGCATACACTGGGGCACATGGACAATTCCCTCCTGCCCATGGCTTGGGCACCTGGCTGCAGGGAAACTGCACAGCATTCCTGCTGCCCTTCCAGGTTCTCCAGTTCAAACAATAATATCCACCACTCCAGTCCCTTGCACTTGCACTTCCACAACACAAGGCATGTTTTGTCTCCTGCAGGGGACATTACCTCTCCAAGTTTCCTGGCATGGCAGTGGATCCTTTCTGAATTTAAAGAGGGCTGCCACTGATCATGAATAATCTGCAGCATTCACAGCAAAAGCCTTATCCAGCTTCCTCATTACATGCAAAAGGGCTCAGACTTGAAAATCCAGCTGGCAGCCTGAGTGGTCCATGGGCACGCTGAAATACTGCAAGAGAGCTGGCAGGTCACCAATGCAAACTGCAGTTTCAATATGCTGATTGGAAAATAGTGTCTTTCTCAAAGTTTACTAAACATTTACTTGTCCTTATTCCCAAACAGCCATTCACCAGTGGTTATAACAGTCCAACCCATCCCTTCTATGTTAATGCTACTTAGCACTTAGGAAGATGCCCAACCTGATTTAAAGAAAAGTAGGTGATGGAAATCAATTCTGGACCTTTCTTAGGACTTGAGCCAATGTCCTCCAGGTCCAGGAACATGAGCAGATTCCTTGGTCAGGCAAGCCCTTCTGGACTCATTTTTCCAAATATCTGCTCTGCTCGCTCCAGGTGGTTTCTTCTCTTAGGCCATCCCTGTTATCCCAGGAACAGAAGGCCATTTCTCCACAGAGCACAGGCTTGTGTCTGGGCACTCTGGTGTGAATGGGAGCAGACCAAACAGCTCTCTGCAGAGGAGTGTTTCTATGGCCATGGCATAGGAGAGCCATCTCATCTAACACTTTCCCTTTTTCATTTAAAAAAAAAAAAAGGGAAAAAAATGCTGTTATTTAACCCCCTAACAGCATAGCTTACATAAATAATACAGAAAATAAGTGGGTGCAGTTTATCAGAAAGATTCATGCACAGAAAGGAACAAGCACTTCAAATCCAGCTGAGCAGAAGCCCATCGATTATGAGCCAGCATACATGCAAGCATAAACATACATGCATCACATATACATCACACACTGATTAATGAACGAAAAAACAAATGTATAAACAAGACTTACTGACTAAGAATGCTAAGAAATAGTTATACTTGGCAATTACTTTGACAAAAAAATAAAGTAGTCTTACTTTAGGGCAGGTATTCTGGCTGCAAAAAAGAATCTTAACAGTGTAATCTCTTTCTCTGCTCCACGCCAATATAATGAACATTATCTCAGCGTACTGTGAAGGATTAGGACAGAATATAGTACAAGTGTGTGAGGATTTTACTTTTGCCACTGAATGAACAATCAAGACCAGTCAGATTTCTGCTGTATTTCACAGTTTTACTTTTGTAAGGAGGGATAATATTTCTCCCTTTTTTTTTTTTTTTTTTTTTTTTTTTTTTTTTTTTTT